TGTATATGATTCACTGTATATGATTCATTGTATATGATTCACTGTATATGACTCACTGTATATAACTCACTGTATATGATTCACTGTATATGATTCATTGTACAAGATTCACTGTAGATGACTCACTCACTGAATATGATTCACTGTATATGACTCACTCACTGTATACGACTCACTGTCGGTAGTTTTCCGGATTGAATTATTATTATTTAATCTTTGTTAGCATTCATTCAACCTTTATTTCTACAGGTAAATCCCAATGAGCCTCGAGGACTCATTTACAAGAGAGACCTGATTTAACAAAGAGTGATGACAACAATGGACAAATACGTTAGCATACGTTACCTTTGGGGATCATGAGGAAACCGGAAGATCGGCTGAGGGTCCGATGAACCACCGGAGCAGTTCTGCACAGCGCAGATAATGTTCTGCATGACGAACTGTTCAAGAACTAACCCGTGCTTTGTCGTGACGCTTTGCGAGGACTAAAGCTAGCTGTTAGCATTAGCTATTAAGCTAAACGTCACATGAAGCACTTCCGGCTAATCTCTTCAAAATAAGGAAAAAAATAACTAGCTATAAACGCACAGCAAATAACCACATTATTTTTAATACAAGTTCAATCATAAATAATAAACAGTAATAATAAAACTGATATTTATGATCAAATAAATCAATCAAAACTATACAAATTTTGTTCATATTTAATCATAATTTGTTTATGCTCTTAAATTGAAATAAGATTAATTTCCTGTTGTCTTTGCCCTCAGTTTGTTTTTGTCACGACACGCGCAAAGACGCGCGAGTTTTGCTCCACTCTCAGCAACCTTTAAATGAAGAGAAACGTTTTGCGGACGTTCTTCAAGTTGTGTTTTAAATACAAAACACGAACAGTAGCTGACTAATTTAAGCAGTAATTAAATGTTGAATTAGAATATCACGACCAATCCTACAAAAGCAGCTGCGCGACACATTTCTTCATTACGAAGCCATTTTTCCGAGGCGGTCCGAGCTGTGACGCACAGGGCGGGCTCGGTCCGGTATTTCAGGAATTCTGTTTGGGTTCAAACTTTCAAATGATGAGGACTAGAAACACTTGGGCGACGACAACAACCTTTTTCTACTCTCGTTTTTTTCTGTTTGTTTCTCGCGATACTTTGCGATCCCCAACTTTTTATTGGTTACCTCAAGTTCTCGCGATACTTGCTGACCAATCAGGACGCAGGAGCGCGAAGTCAAATCCAACCGTTTCCCCCAAAAAGGTCGACGACGTGTTTTCACAGCCACACCGTCAAGAGCCTCTTGTTGTTTCCTCTTCGTCTGAACGGATTAAACAAGGTGAGAGAACATGTTGGTAATTTTAATGAAGTACTGTAGTAATAGTAGAAGTTGTGTCAGTAATAGTAACAGCACGACGGTTTATATCCTACTAATTTAATGTTTGAGCAACAAGAAGCGGGTAAAGATAATTAATGGAGCAACACAGTAACGTTAGTTTGTCTTGACACATATCGCACACGATATTACATTCATGACAACATGTCGTATAGAATTTTATCACGTTTGACACGTGTAAACATGATTGTTTTTGTTGTTGTTGTTGTTTACCCTCCAGAAGACTTCAGTGCATCTTAGGGAACACTATGGAGAGCGTGGCAATTTCAGGCAGAAACCACACTAATAAAAGGGTGAGTTGTGAATTAAAAAAATAACGGCTGTCCAGCATCGTTTCACCCCGTTTTAATGTGCATTTTGATGGTTTTAGGGAAACAAAGAAAACACTCTGCCAACACATGGGACTAAGTCTCTCACCAAAGGAGGGAAAGCCTCTGTCGTCTCGCTCCAACCCAGAGGGGACCAAAAAGAGACCGCAACTAAAAAACATCTAACGGTGAGGTCTAAAGTAGTGGACTCGAAGCAAGTGTTGAGGGAAGCTCAGAAAAAGGTGCAGATCGGTGGGAATGCAGCTGCTGCAGATGTTCAGCGATCATCAAACGGCCAGGAACAAGCCTCAAAGCCACCGGCTGCTGCGTTGTCATCAAAATCTGCCCCTGGAATGTACAAAGGTCGGGTTGTTCAGTCCAAAATTGGGTCCATTTGGAAATCAAGCAGTGCTGTTGGCACCGCAGAGCCGAAACCGTTGGCACCCAGATCAGAGAGCCAAAGGGTTGGAGTTATGGCTAAAAACCACAGATCACTATCTGTTGCTGGACACAGCGTACACAGGCCTGCACCGATGAGGTCCAAATCAGTCTCTGATAAACCTGCTCAGGTGACCAAAGCTGGTGCCGGTAACAGTTGTCCAGCTGGACCTCCTACCAGAACCGTCTCAGCAACTGCAGCCTCTGCCAGACCAAAGACCACAACTGCAGCTCCTAATAAGTCCAGGAGGGAAGAAAACACAAAGGTGAATAAACCCGCGGCCTCGAGCACCCGCCGCCAGTACAGATTCACCGTGGAGACCGCAGAGGAGAAACGGTAAAAAGTTTTCTTGTGTAGCAACATGAACATTTGCTTGGTGGGGTTCTGAACATGTTTATTTCTCCTGCAGAGCAAAACTGGCAGAGTGGCTGGCCTCCAAGGGCAAGACTCTCAAAAGACCAGCCATGACGACCGCAGCGTTTTCAAACAAGCTTCCTGTGAAAGTCAAGGTTGAAGGTCAGCCCCATGTTGAGCCTCTGCTTGCTGCTGAAGCTGACCCCCGCCTGCAGCTAGATGTTGCTGCTTGTTCTGAAGTCCAAGAAGAAGCTTCAGCACACAGTCAAACCCCAGAGGTCATAAACACCACGCTGGACCTGCTCGAAAGCTCTGATGTAGATCTGTCTACCGACTCTCAAGAACCAGTGGATGATGTAAGCAAACGTTTCCCCCTCCTTGTAATAAATTAGATCCATTAGTTTACAAAGTAAATTAAATTCTTTGTTTGGATTTTAACAGATTGTCTTGAACCTTTGCGATGCCTTGGAGTCCCTGGTGACACCGTCCAGATGCAGTGATGGTGAGTACCAATGGCTGCTGGGTCATTTTCCATTCTCGTGGTTTCTACAGCCTTAAAGTGGGGATTTAGATTTTTACCATTTCCAGGTGTGTAAGTACGGAGGGGGGAAAATGCTGCAGTATGGAGAAACATTTGTTTTAAACTGTTCTGAAGTTAATTTTCTAGAAGGCAAAGCTTTAAATTAAATTAAAACCAAGAAATCAAACAAAGATGATCCTGAATTATATCAAAGTGTTTCACTCCAGTAGTTTTATAAACATGGTTTACAATTCTGAAATGTATGTACGCACCATGAAACGGTTGGCTATTAGACTTACTCTATTTTTCACCCTAAGTTGCTTTTTTTTTTTTTTTTTTTTTTGCATAATTTTCATGCCCTGCAACTTGTATGCCGAAGCGATACATTGACGTTTTCCCATATTTATAAACCATTTTTTGGCTGAGATGACCGTTTTCATTCATTCTGACTGAAACATTGAACACTAACATTTTCAGACACTAGATGGCACTCGAGTATGGCATGCCGTTGTGTTATGTAATAGGTAAAAGTGGCTATTAATGATACAATTGGCTTGCCGTAGCCTGCCGCCTTCGTCCAGCTCGCCTGGAGCAACCGTCAAATCCGCTTCAGTTCGCTGCGACGCCTGCAGATAATTTAACTATTGAAGTGCATTTATTAAGTAAAAGTTCAACTGAGACGCACCTTTACTATGAAGTCGAGCAAATAAATAATTGTTTTAGTGGCACACCGGCCCACATTTCCAGGTCGTCAGTGGTGACGCAAATACGTCCATTCATGTTGTGCTGCCAACGGATTTGATCGGTCCAGCGGTTTCTCACTGGCCTTGATGCTCATGTCCTTTAACAAGTGATGACGGTAAACGTTGGTTTATTGCAAGTGCTACAATATTGTGCAGACCTACTGGTGAGTTTACTGTCGAGCTTCTTGATGGTGCATGCATGGAAGCACCAAGTGTGTAGATGCATCAGAACTGTCCCAAACAGCTCGTCTTTCATAATCATACAACTTGTTTTTTGTTCATTTTAAAGTAAGAAATGTGTGGGAAGCTTTTAAAAACTCATCTGTTCATGTTGTTTGCAGAAGTCCAGGAGTGTGGTGGTGATGATGCAGAAGACAAACCAGAGGAGTGTGTGAAGGAGAAAAACGAAAGGATTAAGGCCGAGGAAGTAAAGACGGACGAGGAGAAGCAGGAAGTGGAGGAGGAAGTGGACGGTGGTGACGATGTGAAGACTCCAGAACTGAAAGAAGCGTCCGTCATTAAATACAGCGTGAAGACCACTCCATACTTACAGAGGTGGGGCTGCATACTCTTGATCACAGTACTGAACTTCATGTTTTTATTTCTTAATTCCTTCTCTACCTCGTCGTGTACTTAGTGTCAGGAAAACGATCGAGGACGAGGTCAACGTGAGCGCATCGAAGAAAAAGAGCAACATCAAAGACCTGCGGTTTCTGACCCCGGTGCGTCGTTCCTGTCGCATCCAGCGCCAGTCGTCCTGCCTGCCGCCGATGCTCGTCGATCACGACCCCTGCGTGTCGTCGCTGGCTGAACTGGTGCAGCTGGACGACGACGCAAACGCGTACATTTACAGGAAAAACCCCGCGCTCCTGCAGGAGCTGCCTGACCAGGACTGACGTCGGCTCTGCTCAAACATGAGGCCTTGAAGAGACTTGGGACAAGTATTTTTTACTAACATGAATGTACTGCACGTTTTCTTTAAGTTCCTGCGCTCAAGGTGAATATGTAAATGTTAGACCTATAACATGTTTCCCAATAACTTCACTTTAAGAGTTGTGAAGTTCTATTAATGCACCTTCTGCTTTTATTTTGTATCAAAGCCTCAATGACGATGACATGACACTCTAAAAATCTGTACACTGTTTGTTTTCATTAAACGTGCACTACCGTGTGCACATGCCTAATGTTTCTTGTGCAAAAACAGAACTACAACCACATTTAATCTCACCTTTATTGACCACATTATGTAAAAAGTGAACACTGCTCTCTTTTTGTACACCCACTGGTAAACGGTCCTGACATCAGAAGGTTCTGACGCAGCTCCTCTTTATCCCACAGGAAACGTTTCATGAAAACCCAAAAAGATTAGAAAAAAAACAAATCTCTTGAACGCAGTTTCTTCCCCGAAGTATAAAAAATCACTGTTTCCTCTTGTGCAGAGCAGAGGGGAAGGTGTTCAGTGCTGCACGCCGTCTCAAGGTTTATGTCCTCGAAAGACCTCGATTGTCCAGATCTTTGACCTAAACAGAACAAAAGACCCGAATGTACCATCAACACATCCAACACTTCCTGTGTGGGTTTTCTCCAGTTTCCTCCCACAGACTAAAAACATGCATGTTAGGCTGATTGGTGACTCTAAATTGTCTCTAGGTGCGAGTGAGTGAGTGGTTGTTTGTCTCTGTGTGTCCCTGTGATGGACTGGAGACCTGTCCAGTGTCCCCCGCCCCTCGCACAGTGATTGCTGGACATTACCGGCGACCCCCGTGACCCAAAATGGAAGAAGCGGGTAAAGATGATTGATGGATGGATGGACTTGTTCAGCCTGAGGAGCTGAAACAAACTCGGGTCCCACGTACACGACGTGTTTGAGTGAAACCGTTCTTGACACAACAGCCCTCGTTCTCTTTGAAACCGAAGGTTTCTGGAGATTTTCTCCACCGAGGTGTGAACAGGGTCTGAACAGACCGCTGGCCTGGAGAGGAGTGTGGACCAGAGTCCTGGCCTGATGGTGTTGATCTTTTGTGCTGGTGAAGAGAAGTCGTCCATCATTAAACGGGGGCGGAGCCTCCATGTCCAACTGTGCCCCTCTTGCAGTGATGTCAGTGCATCATTGAAGCAGCCATCATGGCACTAACGATCAGTCGTTGGGCTGATGGTCAACAAAAGAAGAACCATCCAGAGGACCTGACTCAACCTGGTGCATGCATCAGGACGTTAGTCCTGTTTCCTTTTAGATCTTAAAGATGGCTGCCACAGCTAAATGAGCTTAAAGTGGCTATAACTTGCAAATATTGAGCTTAAATTTAGGGTGGTAGTAGCCGAGAGTCGTCCTCAACGCACACCGATGTACCATGAGGGTGATTAAAGGGTGAACACTTGCTACAGTTTTATGTGCGCATTAAAAAAGGGACATTAGATTTTTAGTTTTTCTTGATTTTTACCCTTATGGAGCCAAATCATGCGACATATTTAAAACTTCAGAATGTGATTCATTAAAATCTGCAGCATCTTGTTTTGTTGCCAACAATTACAAGTTGTTTATTTACGTTTGAACACTGACGAGAAACAGAGCGAGAGCCACAGAATGAGAAGCTGCCGGTCTAAAGCAAAAAGAGAAAGTTCTCCCTCGGTCCAAGAGAAATAAAAAACACTAACGCTGAAAAAACAGGAGTCACTGAGGGGAGGAAAGTGTTGGAGCAGAGGAGACGAAGCTGTGGGATATTCTGAGAGTTCAGCGCTTAATGTTTTACAAAAAAACAGATGAGATGGTCACGATAAACCATCATTTACTGAAAATGTTTTTAAACTGTACATTTAATCCAATTTGTGCACACATTTAGCTCTTTAACTTTCAGACGGCGTCTCGTTCCTGTAACGAAGCTCTTCGACAGGTTTACCTTGTATATCCTGACCAGCCAGTGCTCCGTCGTGTACGCCTCCTCCAGCACATCCAGTTCAAAGTCTTTGTTCCCAATTTCAGCGTTCCTCACTCGGTCGTAACCAGGCGGCCTCTCTGCACAAAACATCCCCACGATTAGTTTCAAATGATTTGATGGGAACTTCAGCTCCAGCTGGAACCATTAAAACCAGTGAAAGCACGACGCACGTGTCGGCTCCTGTGAGCCTCTGCTCTTTGTTCCAACTTTACAAACTCACTTTAAACAATATCAGACGAGTCATTCAGAACTTTCTGGTAAAATATAGTTCGTCTAGTTTCTGTTTTTTCATCCTTTCAAAACAAAGAGCAGAAACAGACAACGGAACATTCTTCATGCTTTAATGTTTCTATACGGGAGTGGTGGTGCAGAGGTTACAGAAGGTGGGCCTGTGATCGGTTGCAGGTTCAACTCCTGGACTGACAGCCTGCGGAGCTGCTCTCAGATCAGCGAGTCCCAACACTGCACTGAAACAGCCCCACGCGTCAGTGAAGACCTCCCCGTGTCTCGTCTGATTCCCAGGTCAAAGTGACTCGGAGACAAATATCCGTGTACTTACTGCCCTCTGTGTAGACCTGGCCAAAGCGGTAGTAGCACATCTTGTACATGAGGCAGTTGAGCAGGACGGGGGAGCCCTCACGATCCACCCTAAACTCTCCGGTGGGAGTGTAGTAGTCGTGCTCCTTGATGTGTTTGCCCGTGTCGGTGCTTCCTCCAATGCGGACCATCCACAGGAACTTATTGATGTCTGTCGTGAACAGAGACGGGAGTTCACACACACGACTTTATACTGACGTGCATGTGCCGATGCTGCCTGGGGATGGGACATACCGTCTGAGGAATAGCCCGTCAGCCCTCCGAATATAACCAAAACATAACTGACATCTAGTTCCCTCATGATGTCGTAGGCCTTCTCTTCTGTAGACGCCATGGCCTGCAGGGGAAGCAGAGCTCAGTCAAGACTGCAGCACCTTCAAAGCACAACTAAGCTGTACACACTTCACCTGTCCAACCCTGGAGATGTGAGTGTTGTTCCATGTGTTGTTGTCCACTAAAATCGTCCGATTAGCCATTGCAGTTATTTGATAGCCATAATCCCACCACGACATGACTTTAGCATCCTGTGAACACAGTTTTAAATGTACAGATCTGACAGAGCAGCAGTCCAGCAGCTGTGAGGACGACTGACCTCCGGAGTGTTGTGGCGGAGCCAGTAGTACGCCTCTCTGAAGTCATCAAAGATGATGCGGCTGCCGTCACCGCCACGAGCCGACAGGACGATGGAGGGAGAGGAGTAGGCTTCACTGGTCACCCAGGTAGAGTGGAAGGTGTACGTGATGAGGAAGAAGGCCATAACCAAGATCATCCCACTGGCGACCTGGTGGGTAAACATCACACATGAACACGGTCCGTTCAACAGCAACCGTTGTGGTTGTAGCTCTTTTAAATACATTTAAATATCAGAGCCATCCACCTGAGACGACTGAGCGTCAAGGAATGATTTAAAACAAAGAATCTGCAGCTCTATTGTGATTCCTTTACCCTCGGTAACAGAGCCATCCAGATGTGCTGCTTCATGATGATGAATCATCCTGGAGCCATTTCATTACAACTTTTAAAATCAAACGTTTCATAATTATAAATCCTGTAAAACAATCAAAATGAAAAGAACTGCCAGCTAATCACAGATAAAACACGACTCCAATAAACAATGTCCTTTTTTTACATTCAAAAATTTAAATCCAGCAGATTTTAACTTTATAACACAGTGGATTAAAATCGAACAGTGTGATGTTTAAAGACACAAAGAGACAAAACACATTCAAAAAAATAAAACTTGAACCTCCAGAAAATACTTTCAATAACATCCGGTGCAGCTTCAAGCGTTGCATGTGCAGTAGTTCCTCACTTATCATGGGAGTTACGTTACAGACACCCCCGCGATACGTGAAAATCCACAAAGTAGGGACGTTATATTTATTATAGTATTTATATTTTAAACCCTTCCCACACTCTTGCAATGTTCTTAATGTTTGAAACTCTCTAAACGCTCTAAAAGAGCGAAAGAGAGCAGACACACTGATGCTACGGTTGCTGAGCCAACCCCGGGGGCGGTCTGGCCATCGGGAGCACCAGGACATTTCCCGGTGGCCTGGCCCGCTCAGTGATCACAGAGGGGCTGGACCAAAAGGCACAGTTCGGGTCACGTTTGATTATTTTACATAAACAATCTGTGCCGCTCACTCAGGTATCTGCTCACTGAAGCCCCCTGAGCAGTAGTGATGGAGAAAGACAGACCCCGCCCCCCATCCCCTCCTTTCTCTTTCTGAGGCTGTCTGTCACAGCAGAGCAGACACACAACAGGTTGTGCACCTGCCTGTTGTGTGTCTGCTCTGCTGTGACAGACAGCCTCAGAAGAGAAAGGAGGGGGCCCCTCTGTGATCACTGAGCGGGCCAGGCCACCGGGAAAAGTCCCGGTGCTCCCGATGGCCAGTCCGCCCCTCAGCACAATGCTCTGGTTGGTGACCGTCCATCTATCAGCCAATCATGTGTTGTGTAAAATCTTACATTAAAACCCACAAAAGAGTCTACGAAAGTATCGATGGACTACAGTACCTCGTTTTTGATGGGGTAGGTGGAGTCCTGCTGCTTCTTGCTCTTCTTGTCCGGCCGGCTGACATCCAGATTCTTCATGTACGTCGTTAGCACCTGAGACACGCCGATGCCTGACAGGATGCACATGACTGGAGCCAGTACCAGCATCAGACGCACCTGAGGTCATTTTTTTAGAAAAGAAAAGTGCATGAATCCATGTACGGATTTTTTTAAACATCTGCACCATCATCAGGGCTCTTTGAGTACTTGTAAGTACATACAATAAAGTTCTATTAACACTCAGTTTGACGACATATCCAGTGACATCTCGATGCTGCTGAAAGTCGCACAAATGTTCAAACAGCAGTTGAATGTTTCATAAACCAAGTGCTTCTTTCCACCGTGCTCACACTCCACCTCTGACGAAGCAGAGAAACCAGAGATCCAAAAACTCTTCTCTGGTAGAGAACTGCACCATCACCTGAGCAACCACCACATGGACCCAGTCAAAATATTAACACAGTCATACCATGACGGCTGAGAAGTACATGCTGGTAACTCCGTACATGATGATGAAGATCCTGGCGTCAGACAAGTTGTTGAAACAGTAGTAAAGACCAACTGTAGGGAGGAAGACATGAAATGACTCAACTGGAGAAAACTCTCTATCAGTCCTGTTTAACCATCTTGTGATGCTACTGACGTGCCTGGAAACATGAAAACCAGCAGCTGCAGGTCAAAATAGTAGGAGGACCAGGTAGTGGGCTGGTGCTCAGAGACGGAGGCGATGATGGGGATGTTGTTTTTGGCATAGGAGGGGTCCAGCAGGGAGTAGAAGCGACCAGTCCATGGAGAGATTTTACCTGAGGCAGACCCAGGACAAAATGACTCAATCAGAAAAGCAAAAATACAACAAGGAAAAGTTTCTAAAAATGTTCAGTATTCATCAGCCGCCATTTGTCTGTGTAACTGCACCCACCCGTCAACATGAGAACAGCGCCCACAGACAGCAGGATGAAGCCCACCAGAGAGATGACGCTCTTGAACAGGATCTCGAACTGCTGGGTGTTGAGTTTGCTGCGCAGGTAGTCCACAAAGGCGTGGATCTGACACAAGCCAAACACTCCAAAGGCTGCCATGTGCTCCGATGACTGCACTGGCTGGTGAGAGGAAGAAACACAGGAAGCTTAACCAGTGTCCCAGAACTCTTTCTGGTGACGCAACACTTTTTGTTTTTTACCTGGAAACCAACAAAAGAGATCTGCATGGACAGGATGGTGCCCAGGCAGTACACTGTGCAGTAAGCCACATATATACGGTGGGAGAAACGGCCTGTGAGCATCAGCACCAGCACATGGAGGGGTATAAGGTTGATCAGGAACACGTAGCCACCCCAGGAGGAAACCTGAACACACACGTCACGTTCACGTCTCAACTCTTGGGTTTGTTCAGAAAAACGAGCACATCCTCCACGTCCTTACCATGTAGAAGTATGCCAGGGCGCATATGGAGGACCAGTACACCGAGCCGGTTTTAACAGCTTTAATCCACATGTAATAGGTCAACAGCATGCAGAAGATGGCAATACCTGAGTTGGAGTTAAAAAAGTTATTTTTACAAGAATAAAACACCACAACAGACTAAAACTTCAATAAACTAAACAATCTATCCAAAACTCAGACTGTTAAACATTTAATATAAAAGTGACAACTATGATACCAAAATAAAGACGACACTTCTCCTTAATTTAAGGATGAAGTGTGAAGTCATTGCAGTCTTGGTACCTTCGTTATCATAGGAGCCAGCAACAGAGCGGGAGATATAACCAGGAACCACAGCGATCATTGCAGCTGCCAGGAGCCCAGCGCCTGCATCCTAAATGGGACGACACACCAGAGTGCAGGACTTCACCGTCAGCAGGGAAACACAATACTCCCGTTAAAAGTTGAACAGTTTTAGGCACCAGTTATTTTTTTGAGTTAGTAAATCAGAGGTTGTCGAGGTCAGACAACCTTCAAACAACGTATGCTGCCGTCTACTATTTAACAAACATCAAAGTAAAAAGCCACAATACTGCGCACTGGGCAACAGGCAGGGCTTAATTTGAGCAGGATCCTGCTGGAACAGGACTCGGGAACTCTTACTTGGACAGGGTGTGTTCCGGTAACTGTTTGCTTGGATCCGGTCACTCAGATCTCTGCCCCTCAAAGTCCAAGGTCATCGCACATTTTTATATATATAAAAAATAATAATAATAAAACCACCTCAAAAATATAATTAAACAGCACAACTAAATTGCAGATCAGTTTGACAGTTTAAGTGGGTCATTAATAAAATTTTGATTATTTATTAAAATACAACAAGATAAATGTTTGATGTGAATTATTCACATCATGTATCAAAACAACAGCGATCAAAATGTTGAAAAGACCGTCCGATTTACTTTCATTAAAAAATGGATGGGTTGTCCTTCGTTGGACAACTGAGAACTGAAGACGGTGGAAATCAAGACTGGAGCGAGCGAGCGGTGGTGGGGGGGCACATAACTGGGCAGGAGCCAACAGGAAGTGTCTATGGTGGTACAAGGTTTGGTAATTTGTTGTTTAGGGGCGTTTGTGTGTTTTCACAATGTCAACGAGAGAGAGAGAGATTCTAAACCCTCCCCACACTCCAGCAATATTCTAAACAATGTTTCTAAATGCTCTAAAGACACAGAACGTCATGATTTAAGCTCCCCGCCTCCGACTGCTCTCTGCCACCTGCCAGCGCTCTCGCTAGGCCACGCCCACTTCTTCGCTGCAGAGCGGATGTGACGCGCTGCAGGAGGGAGCTTCTCAGCTGTGGGCTGCACACAGGTGCCAAATCATTTTAAATTATTCATTTTACATTTTTTAAAAATCCATGCCGATCATGTGGCTCATCCACGAACCAGCCGTGTGTCACGTCCAGTCTTACTTTGAAAAACCGCGACATAGTGAGTCAGCGAACCAGGAAGTAACGAGGGACATGAGCAATGAAAGGCGCCCTCGCAGAGGATCTGCCATTTATTAAGGTGAACTTGAAGCAGTGAGTGACGGCAGCTAACGGCAGCTGACGGCAGCTGACGGCAGCTAACAGCAGCTGACGGCAGCTGACGGCAGCTGACTGCAGCTGACGGCAGCTAACAGCAGCTGACTGCAGCTGACGGCAGCTAACAGCAGCTGACGGCAGCTAACAGCAGCTG